GCTCTTTCATAAAGAGATCATTTATTTTTAATAAGAAAGTAATATACCAATTTTTCTTACGCCAATATTATGAGTTATTTTTCCTCTGTTGAATATATATATATATGTATATTAATGTTGATGATATTTTCTTTCCAATGATAAACATAATTGTGTCTTATTCATTTGAGTTATTAAAGTGAAATTAATGTGTAATAATTTAAATATTAGAAAGCTTTTTTGATCATGCAGTCAGTGACATAGAAAAAGTAATAAATTATGTCCCTAATATTTTATTATTTATGTTACATAATAAACATAATTTATATCTAAAAAGAACCGTTTATTACGTATTGTGTTAAAACAATGCGTCAGTAAACATTGTGAGCTACAAAATAAATCATCAATACTAAGATGCCAAAGTCCAGGAGTTCCCAAAGTATGGGTCGCGGTCAACCAGCGTATCACGAATGATTATGAATTAGACGAATAATCAAGATGTGTGTCTGAAATTTCGTGTTTTTGTTAGGTAGTCGAAGCCTAATCAAGTTTGAAAACCATTGGCGTAAACAAAGAGTCGTTACTAGCGTGTCCGCGCGCGTGTATCCGTGGCCGTTGATCTGTCCACTTCTATTTCCCGGTGTGGCCGCGGCATTATGCTCGCAACACTGACAACAGAAATATTATCACCTTGTCTATGTCCACAGAGACATAATTTGCTCGTGATTTATGACCTGCCTGTGCGGAAAATTTAAATATCTCACTGTCGTACTCGAAGGTTAATGACCTCTAAAGGAGCTACTTAGTGTGGATTTAGTTAAACTAAAACTTAATTTGTTTGAGATTGCTAAATGAATTATTGGTTGATGAATTTTTAAGTAGAAAAATGTTCAGTTTTCTTGTGAAGAGAGTGTGAAAAACGATGAGAGACAGTCCCTTTACATTTCAATTATATGTTTCATGAGGTCATTTCACAGAAGGGATGACAAGGGTAAGAATTTGTGTTTATATGGATAAGAGTAATGTCCACTATAAGTGAGTTAAATATTGTTATAATATTTTATTATTTGGTCTCTACTTTTTTTGCGTAATCAAGTTTATTTCAGAAATCAATGAAACATAAATAAATCAATGTAACGTTAATATTGATAAGTATTTTAGAAAATAAATTGAAAATAAAACCCCTTTGTCAGTCGACTCTCTTATTAAATAAATCATAATAATCGTATAATTTTTATACCCGTCGCATTAAACTAGCGCCATCTAGATGCTCATAATTGACCAACGCACAATTCTCAGTTAACGACTGACTTAAAAAAATAAACAATCCCTTTTTATGATCCACATTCGTCACACGTCATAATAGAAAATGTTGCTTTTATTGCTCGTGACTACGGTCATTAAACTGTGGGAGTGGGGATGTAAGGGAAACAAGGGAAAAGTCATTAAATTGTCAGCAACAGAGGGTTGTCAGAGCGCGTGCGCGGGAGTGGCGCAATATGGCTTTAATAAATCAGCTAATTAACCCCCCAAGCCTCATATTAACAACATAAATTTCATCCTACCCGACTCACCACTCCAGATGTTATGCGGGCTGAATATGCGCATAACATATTCGATGGTTCTTCAGAGGATATGCTCGTGAAGGTTGCTCAAATGTTGAAATTTATATCTCAGGTTAATCTTCATACTAAAAGATATATCCTTCGTTAAACCCTTGTGGAGGACTAAGTTGAATTTAATTATCTTTAATATTATTCGAAGCGCTCAAGTATTAGCATTTAAAGTGCTCGATTAGTTTATAACGGTCTGAGATCTAAAAGGGAATTTCAAGATTTTTTTATTACGTAAGTTAAGTAAAAAAAATAATTAAGATATTAAAATAGAAATTTTAAATTCATGAGTTACTTTCTTTTTTATAAAATGCTTTTGAGTTTGTTTCATTTTAATTTGTTCCACTTTATGAAAAAAAAATAACAGTTATATTTTTTTATTAATTTTTTTCGATTTAATTTGTTGTTGAACCTCCTGTATTAAAAGATAGTTTTGACCGTGGAATAATATATAAATGGCGGCCCGTATCTCGTGACATGCTCTATTATAAATGTCAATGGGACATCTCACTGTCGTACTATCTCTATTAAGATCAGAACAGCTGGTTTAATTACATGTTGGGGTGGCATTTATGTCATTTTGGAACTTTCTCTAAATAAAGTCTAGAATAAACCAATATACGAACAACCAACCAATCAATGGGACGTGGCTTATTAAATGATTCCCTAAAAATTCTTACGTAAACGTTATTAACTTTAATATTGTTAATTTTTCTTACGTACAAAGCAAAATCATTTTTTCACTTGCGGCTTTTAACAAAAGTGAAGAATACTAAGCTGATTATAAATTACATAATATTGTAATAAGATTAATATTGGAAATATGAAAACAAAACAACATCGAAAAACAGAACATTCATCGACAGATCATTATTTCGTAATGATCATTTTCTATAGAAACAAAAAGCAAAGCGCGGGGTGGTTACCGTGACTATGCGAATTTCGAACTCCCTGTAAACCATCGTTCATGAATGTTATTGTACGGATAGTCATTTATCAAAACGTCCAAAGTAGTCGCGTCAGGCGACCATACAGTATTATGACGATGGAATATACGTAACTTGTCCTAAAGGTCTTAGTATTTGAGCCGTCTGTCAAACAAATCCATTATACGCCCTACCAGTAACGAAATGTTTTGTCTTTGAATCCATATCTCGGAGAATATTATATCAAATAGATGTCACTTTGGGTCCCTTATAAAACAGTATCGACATTATTTATATTCTATATTCAAACCTTTTACATGATGAAAAGATGTTTTTATTTTGTGCTAAACAAATTGACTTTCAGCTAGGCGCTTTAATTTCTAAGCAATTAAGAGAATCTTGAATAAATCTTACTAATATTACAAATGCAAATGTTTAGATGGATCAATGGATGTTTATTTGAAGGTATCTCCGGAACGGCTTAACGGATCTCGCTTAAATTTTGCGTAGATGTAGAACATAGTCAACAACACATAGGCTACTTATTTTTTTTCTCCGAGCAGACGGAGCTGGTTTATACGTAAACACATGCGTTAGTTAATACATTGAATTGCATGCTAGTAGCATAAAATTATTCCATATTTGAATATGAAATGACAAATGAATGAACATCGTATTAGTATTACAGTTGCCGTGCGTGACGTATTCAATAGGGATTGTGTTTTATTTGTGCTTAGTTTGTCTATGCATTAGGCTTTAATAATATAAGAACCCTCTTCCTTTAAGGTCTATGAACTCCTGTTCATTCAGCTGTGCTCTTAGCTCAATAACGGGCTTAATCTCGTTCATTGAAGCATCGTTGTCGCGACCATTTAAAGTTCCGCTACATTTACGATTTTATATTGACTATCGAAGTTGAAATATGGCTTTCACATGAACAATATTAAGATTATTTGGACAAATATTTATGGAACTAAAATAAATACAAAAGTAACAATAGTAAAATTTAAAAGAGAAACCAAAAAAAGTTTCAAAGTTAACTTAATATTTCCGATTGTTAGGTTTAGATTTACATAGACATGGTCTGGTAATAGCTTAGTAACTAAACAATTTAAAACTTTTATTTTACACAAATAGACGGACAATTTTATAACTATTTATCTATCCTTGCATATGCTTATATAACCATAATAAAACAGTTTCTCGTGCTTAAGTAATCGAGGTTAATTATATTTGGCATACAGTTATTACTTGGGACCTTTATTGCCATAATTTTACGACCTGCCATTACAATATATGTTAGTGTTTTCTATGTTCGTATATTATATTTATTTACATCAAACGACAATTTACGACTGTGATAATGATTATTTGTAATGTGTCTTTACCTATTACACAGTGTATTTATTTAGAAAATAATGATAAATATATATAAAATGGGCTAAACATTCACGTATATTCATACGGTGGCGGTACCGACTAATTTTGAGCCCACTCACCCTGATGGGCTCGAAACTAGTCAGTGCCGCCACCCGACGTATATACGTGAGTGTTTAGCCGTTTTTATATAAGTTTATCATAATGTCTCACGAAAATTTGAATAATTTAATAATCATAAAAGTAGCAGAAACTACATATTTACCAATTTGATTTGTTGTAATGAATACTGTGATAATTAATCTTTTGTAAATATATTCATAGTATAGGTTGGGTGTTTCCATAAAATCATACGCAAGTAGATACACCTAAAATCTTGCTATTGATCGACGGACAGACAGAATAACTGACGCTCTATTGTTTGTAAATTATACTCTACCATTATATTTATTACGGAGTTATAAACAACGTAGCTCTATTATTTAGTTCACTAATTCGGAAATGTTTTCTCATTCATTTCATTACGCTTATATGATAAATATATTATAGTTAAAGAAAATGCTTCACGTTAGCGGGAAATCGATTCCGCTCAGTTACAAACGAATTACCGCAAAACCGCAACACGTTTGAAACAGCTGTTTATTTGAATATTAGAATTATTTTCGCTTATTTAATATTAATGGAACGCTCCTCAACATTTGTATATTTTATATGTATGTATGTATTAATTAAATTGTCAGCAAACATTGTTTATTCACATATTTGTTTTAAATAAGTCAGTGTAAGTGTATTCGATTTTGTACACATAATATGTTTGCATTTTACACTGTTAATTTAAAAGTATAAATTATTATCCTTACAAGCCGTAACATACAGAAAGAAACAATTAAAAATAAGTACCTGCACTAACGATAACAATAATATTACAAAGACTAACATAAGCCTAAGATTATAAAACTCCAAGAAAATAGCGTATACTTTTAACCTAAGGTGGCCCCTATCTTCCTGGCTGAAGGCATTAATGGCTTCTTGGTCGTTGTTACTGTCTATAAACAACGTTGGTAACTTGTTTCCTATACAAATATGTAAATGTTGTTACTTATAGATCAGGGCGAGGTGCGGCATACGCGTGCTCCGAGGGCGAAGGCAACGCTCCCAAGTCATGCTGTGGCCGGCCGCCGCTGAGACTGTGCGTGCTGTTCCTCGGCGTGGTGGGTGCTTGCCTGGTAGCCGCCGGCGCAGTCCTCGGTGCCCTCAGGCCGCATCCAAGAGCACCTCTTACATTACTGCTTCTAATGATAGGTATGTATATACACGCTTTGAAAATCTTTGTGCATTTCAAAATGATCATGAGGTATTGAATGAATGCCTTAAAATTTATATTCTAATCATAAAGAGGAATGAATCATTTCGAAGTTCGAATTTTTCAAATTACATTATCATTAGACGTAGAATTACCGACAGTATCATGTATTCTAATTTAAACATAGCACCTACATTTTAGCACTGAGCCAACACGATTCAAATTGGTCATTTCAATAAACCGCATTAACCCAGATCTGATCAAAGAACCTCCACGTTTAGCTCACCATAACAATCAAAGTTTCAGGATCTAATGAAAGCATATTATCAAAAATGAATGCAAATTTCTCTAACGGCGTTCACTGAAAGTCGCCTATAAAATTTAATGTTTCCTCTAAAATTCATAAATTTCCTACAAAGGGGTGGTCTTAAATAAATTACCTTCATTAACGGTAGCGCAATCAGAACCTCACTAGATATTCACCTTGTATTATGCATACTGCTATGAATAGCTTAAGGACAATACTTACTAACTATGGCCTTCGTCCCCGCATAACACTTTTGTGGATTAGGACAAGTTTTAGACTTCATTTGTATTCTATTGCTTCTTTAGAGTAAGTCCCTTTATCTAAAGAGTTTGAATACGTTTAATTAGGGCTTGATTGATTTCGATTTTTACATTATTTTCTACTGAGTAATTCCTATGATCATTTTAGCACACTTTTATTTCTTCTAAGCTACTCACTGTGTCGCGTTCTGTTTCAACTCATTGTTTATTCGGCGTGCATCTGCCGATAGCAAGTCTGGACGCGATTTCATTACATCATTCACAAAGTCGCGGCCACCCTTCGACGGGCGGAGTTTTCAATTAAACTTCGAATGAGTTTTGGAGCAGAATTAATTGGATTTTCATTAGTGTTAGGGACAAATGATGTTGTTACAGCCGAGCGATCTATTGTTTGCACGCGGAGGCAATTTGTACGCGTCAGTCACTTCGCAACTCTATGCATCGACGTCGACCAAATGGTGAACAACTTTCCACACACATTGTTCCCATACAATGCATTATGTACGCTCGTTTGGTTATAGCACACGCGATGCCTCGTTGCCCACGTCTGTGATCATATCCGCAAAAAATATTAAACCGGGAACATATGCTCTTCAAATACCTCATGGAAAATTGCAATATTTATCTATTCACGGATAAAAATATTCATTATTTCACATTAAATGGTGTTCTGCTAGTGAATTGAAGTAATATACCGAAATAAAATGTTTATAAGCCTGTATGAAAACCTTAACTCGTATAATATTAGTAAAAAAGTGGTGGTAATTTCTGACAGAAACATATGTATATCTTAGATTCAACCCACTAAAACCAATTCGGGTGTAATTTTCGAGTGCGACTGGAGAGAGTACCTGTATCTCCAAAGGAACGCTCCGGGACTCAATTGATTTATACTTAACAATAAAAGTGTAAGACTAAAATTATATTAATTCTGCAGGGATAGGCGTAGTGCTCGTGACAGCAGCGGGACTGGCGTGGAGGTTGGGTGCAAGGGACGCACCATGCGCACTGCTCGGGCTGCGGCGCGCGTCATGCCGGCGCTTCGTGCCGCGCCTGCCACCCAGCTACGCGCGCCCGCATCACCCGTACGCAGCTATGCTCTACCCGGAGTTCCATTACAGGCCGCCTCCACCCACCTACCAAGCTTCAATGCAGGAGTATAGACTCAGGTAATTTACAACTCAACACAGTTAGCAGAGACTATGGAATTCCATTTGGTGCGGACTTGGCACACCTCTATCGCTTCTTCTATATACAAACTACGCATACAAATACGTCGATTATGGTTGTTCATAATTAAATCTAGTAATCTGTTATTGTGAACTTTCACACTTGTATCTTACCGTTGTTACTTTACTTCAAAGAGATTGAGATGGGTGACAGCATGTTACAAGTGTTTCAGCATAGTCAAAGCACAGTTACAATTGTCTAAGTAAATAAAGCATCGTTGGATGGAGCTAATACTTCTACATAATCTTTTTCATTTCTTTCCAGGTTACTTCTTCTTGACAGAAGTGTGCCAGCGGTGTCGCCGCCACCCACATACAGATCAAACTCAGCCAGTCTAGTCAGGTATGTGCACGATTTTGCTATGATCCATTGTTTCGTCAGCAATCTCGAAGGAACAAGATATGTTGATCTGATACAGCCACTATTAAATATGTTCGTCGCTTTAGCAAGCTAGTTGTACTATTTTCGATGCATTCGACATCCCTCTCTACTTTGCAAATTGCACACGCTACCCCCAAGAGGATTTTCGTGAGACAAGTCTCATGTTACCCTACGAGGGAAGTCCCTGGAAGGCAGTGTATCGGTTGAATATTCTACCAGACCCCCCATAACATAAAATGTACTACAACGCATCGTTTGTTTCCTTACAGAGGAACCACAGGCGCCACGTGGTGCGGCTCGGAGTATAGTGGGCCGCCGTCATACAGAGCGCCACGCGCTGAACCTCCGCCCGCCGTCACCGACGTGCCTTCCCCCATCGACCTCAAGTACTCAGGGGAATCTATCGAGTCCCCCCTACCCGAACAGAAGGACCCTGATGAACATCTCGTCACCATAGTGCACACAGAAGCCCAACCCGTCATAGTAACAGTGTCTGGCTCACCGGCGCTCAACGAAACTCACATCACGCATACCTCTGAAATCGATATATTAGCCCATTTATAACGAAATATTGGTTAATCTATGTGTCTGAAAAAAAGCTTTACGAGATTTTGAATCCGAAAAAATTATAAATATAAAAGTTATAAAAACCATAATAGAGATCAAAAAGGAAATGCAAGTTTAAAGTAGAATTCATTTTACTAACGGAAATTATGTTCAACCTGTTAATTATTATTTATTTCGTTAATTTACAATTATTCATAATTGAATAAATAACCAATACAATATAAATATGAAAAATAAATACAAATTTGTATATTTAAAGTATTAAAAAGCATGGAGTTCCAAAAATGTTACTATAGATTACTTATACAAAACGAATTAATCGTTTCAAAATCATCAGATTTTAATCAAAACTTAATAGAAAAATTCGTCATAATTTTTTTTTAAATCATCTAACAATATATGTACAAACTTTCATTATTGTATTTATTTTTTATCATATTGTTTTTATTTTAACATTTTTGGACTCATTTATTGACTTTGTTGTTTTGTTTAAGGATTACATTTGTGCCTTCGTATTATAAGTAATTATTTGTTCCAAAAGTGAAAAGATTTCGTGTACCTTACTTGAAATAAGTATTATGTAAATAAAAACACCCAAAAACGTAATGTTTTGATTTTTTTATTTAAACGAAAGATTTAAACACATGGGTAGGAATTTCCAAAAATTAAAAATGTAAAAAATTTAGTCTATTTTTGAAAAAAAAAATTAAGTAACAGGATTTTAATAGTATATTTTTTATGTTTTAAAGTTGTACAAACGATCTATTTACGTGTTTAAATCTTAGAGTTAAAAAAATCATGCGTTGTGTAAATACATTATGCTTTGTTAAGTATTTTTATCGGGGCGTATCCGAAAAGTAATTATTTTATATAATTAAACCAAAATTAATACCGTAATGTACAATGTGAGTTAACGTGCTTTACACTCAATTAGTGCCAATGGTCGTTTTAATAATTTTGTAAATATATTCCACTTAATGATGCTACTAATGTGTTAAATATTGTTTTCAGCTCAGAAATGAAGTACATTAAAAAAAATATAACATCAAGAACTTTAAAAAAATGTCATAAATGCTCCTCTACAAATATGTACAGTCAGCTGCATAAATATGTAAACATTTTTCAAAATGTTCACATACTTTTATGCGACTACAGTTTCAAAAATACGTAAGCACGTCTTCACCAATGGATGCAATCATAGTTGGAAACATAAGGACGGATACGTGCATACATATTTTTGACACCGAATTCGTATACAAGTTTCTGAAGTTTTATAAATGTATGAATATTTATGCAGCTAACTGTACAGAATTTTTACCATCATGTTTTTATATGAGTGACAACAAAAACAATAATGTATTTTTAAACATAACTTTGTTATAACGATTAAATATTTTTAGTCTGTGACATAAATCAAAGACAATTTATTTCCGTGACAGACAATTAATTTAATCTCATGATTACAGATAAATAATACAATTTAACTGCTGTTTGTTTTTATTTATATTTCGTTACTTCAGTATAGGAAGATATTTATGAATATAGTATTTAAGTTGTTGTAAATTATAAAGATATGTCGAGTTCATTATCCTTTATAGTTATCATTTATATTACAAACTTAAAGAACTGAGAGTATTCAATGCAATTAAAAAAATATCCATCTGATATACATAATAAAAACTACAAGAATCGTGAATTAAAATTTTAAAAAATTTACCGCCAAAAATGACCGCCATTTTGTATCCGCCATTTTCGGCAAATGCAACGTCATTAAGTTAGATAGGAGTTACATCAGTCTTGATATACAAAAATATTTTAGTATCCAAAGAACCGATCTCTGTTAAAATTCTTTCTTATTCTCATAGAGACATTGAATTATATGAGAAATGTCAAAGAATGTACTTCCTACGAGGCTACTTTAGGTTCTTGTAGACTTACTAGGGATACAGTTAACTGTTTATGGACCGATCAACTTATCTGACCCGGTGGCCATAAGTGAAACTTATTCATTGGCTCTACTATCAATGTCAAAAAAGCGCTAAAATACTTTTCGGTCTATGGCATTTTTGTCTTATAAGTAATTTTATATGCCTATAGCATTTTTAAATATTTTCTGTGAGAACTAACCGCGACAGATATATAATAACTGCTCCTCTCACCGGGTCAGATGAGATTGTCGCAGTACACATCAATTTTTGTTATAAAAACGTAGTTAGTTGTTAGATTGATATCACGACATTCAGTGACGATCAATTTAAGTATCATGTAAAATACAGACTATTATTTTTAAGGAATTGTAACATTATAGTGTAATTATTGTACTGTACATAATATTATTTGTATTATAAGTAAATAAAAAAACTTTTAGTGAATATTAAGTTTTTTAATTTTGTGATTATTACATACATGTCCTAACTAGACCAATCATTACTAATATTATAAATGCGAAAGTAACTCTGTCTGTCTGCCTGTCCTTCCGAACCGATTTAAATGAAATATGGTACACAGATAGCCCAGAGTCTGGGGAAGGACATAGGCTACTACTACTACTTTTAACGCGAAAAAGGGGTTGCAAGGGCTTGAAAAGGGTGATGGAAATCTGAAAGTATCGTATTTTTTTACAGATAGAAGCCTGAAACTTTTTATTTAGGCAGTTAATATGATATAAATAAATATGACATTCAATATTAGTAAAAATTTTACCCTCAAGGGTGCAAAATAATAATAGGGGATGAACGCTTGTATTAAAACTTGTGAGGTCTATGTGATTGTTATGTAACTTTAATATGTATTGTTGTTATGTATTATAAATGTTAGTAGAATAATACCTAAATAATGAAAATATCTACTCAGACAGTATTTCACGCAGACGAAGTTGCGGGCACAGTTAGTTCATTAGTCTTATTCTTATTATTATTTTGTGGAAATCCTGTCCTGTCCTTTCCTGACATGTAAATAAAATACATGTATGTAAATTGGAGTGCCTGTTTGTAATATTGAAATAACAATTTTATTGCGTAAACTAGCTGTCGCCCGCTACTCCTGCGCGGTATTAAAAAAGCTTATGTATTGCTTGCAGATTTCAGATCCGTTGAACCGATCCGGAGATACCTTTTAACAAACATCCATTCATCCATCTAAATTTACGCATTTATGGTATTATATAGTCTGAAGTATGATATAATTGAATGAGAAACGAAGAGATTACAAGCGTGTTTGAGGCCAGTTGGAAAGCTGCGAGCGGCGAGCGGTGCGAATAAATCGCTTTTGAATGCAATCGACAAGAGATGCCGAGAGCGAGATGATTTATTGGCTCGACGAGCTCGTAGACTAATGGCGGCTGAGTAAGCACTTGTCTGCCAAATGTTTATTTTATTTTTAATGTTCCCAGCCAGCCTTTATCCTCGTAATCCGAGTTTCGAATCAATCAGTTATTTTTTTATTGAGCTGACAGAGATAATTTTCGTTATTTTTTTTGTAATATTCGAGTGAATTGAAATAGAAAATTTTATTTGTGATAAAGCTAATTAAAATATTATATTCCGTACTTTTTATAAATCAATGTCGAAATGCATAAAACTTACTTTGTTTACAATTCTCTTTAAGTCTAGAATCGCTACAAAACAAATAAAATAAATCTTCATGAACCTTAATTCTCGTGGCGATGCAATTTGCCTCTCAATTTTGTTCGCAACGCTTTTTTTTATTTACAAAAATTGGTTCAACCACTTATCTTGTGAATATTGAAATTTAAATCATTACTTTACTTTTCGATTTTCATTCAGCCAGGATGTTTTGGTTTCAAAAGAAAAATGTTAACGGTGATAATCTGTTAACGCTACTAGAGAAAAAAACGCTATTGGGAGTATTTCTAATGCATGTAAAATAAACTAAAAATAAAGCTATTATAAAATTGGTACGGATTTTCGATCACGAAATTCGGGGTTCGAATCCCGCCATTCGAGTATTGTCGTAAACCATGTTCTAGGACAGGCCTAGAGCTTAGTTGGAATGGTAAAAGAAATATTAGTAAATTAAAAAAAAATCTGCTAATATTTTTTATTTAAAAAAAAAACAAACACAAAATAAAACCCTTCAAAACTCAATATCAATCTCAATTTGTGATTCGACTTTAATCTAGTACTCAGTCTCAGCAATTTGAAAATTAGTCAAAGCAATATTTTGGTAGAGCTATTAACGTAATTAGAAACTTTCAAAGTCCTTCGTTGGCATTAACTAATGCATTAGTCTCGAACCTAAACGGTATTAAAACTTTTCGGCTAATTTCGCCTTTGATTTATTTTTCATAAAACGGCGCCAGTTATTTCAGACGCTGAATATTTTCGGAACGTATTTTTTTCATTACATTACCTACATTTAATAAAGCTCATTGCTCGCTATTTTTACGTGAATGCAAAGTTTGATGAACACCGAAGTTTTTTAATTAATTCTTTTTTAAGTTCATATTAATTCCGTTTTGAAAGAATTTTATGGAATTAATTAAAGGTAATCAATTACAATAGGTAAAACCTGAAATGTAACTAAAAAAGTGCCTTAGAGGATAAAAAATACATTTATTCGAACTAAACCTCTCTGAGATAATAATTATTAATTACAACAAATTAGTTAATTTATTGTCTTTCTTACATAATGTCTGTTTAGGCAAGTGTTTCCGCTTGGGCCGATCGGCCTGTCGATCAATCAGCCCAGTGAGAATTTATTTAATTTTATGGTATTAATCTTATATTAACTGAAATAATTAGTGTGGCTTGCATCCCGGCTACAATATATTGCGGGCTGTTGCTATGCAATGCCGGTGAAATTTAATAACCAACAGTTTCGCAGCCCGCGGCGCTGCGTCAAACTATGCTAATTTAAAACACATTTGCTTATTAATAATTCCAGATTCGCGCCGCTTGTTAAAATTTGTAATACAAATGTTGCCATTTTGATAGATATTGATTTATATTCATTTCCTTTTTTTTACAAACATAAAAAATACTGGCAACATTTTTCAAAATCATGTTTCTTATCTGATATTTTTGAAATAAAAAATAATTTACTACTTAAATCGCATGAAATAGTAAGGTAGTTAAAAAATGTTATAAAATAAGAAAGCTAGTTTACAGTATTTTTAAATAATAAACTACACTGTATTTTATAGTAGTCATTAAGTTTTTTCATTTTATGT